TTTAATATTTCAAGGTGTGTTTTTTTTATTCAAAGCTTATAAAACATATTTAACAGATGAACAACTCAAAAATCTACCATAATTCAACGAGAGATAACTCTGAGAATAGATTTTTTAAAAGTCTCTGGTAACTTTAATAGGTTTTACATAGTGAACCAGATCTCATGCCAGATATATTTTATTTCCGGATAACATGTTCTCATAAATATTGATATTATTTTCTCCAAAACAATTTCCAGATAGATTGAAGTTCGAGCTAGGGCTACGTACGACTGTGCAAGATCAAGATTGAGATTGAAAAAAACCGATATTATCAGACTCTAGTAATCATTGACAGAGAACTATCTTTCTATTTTTGAATTTCATATTCTACTCTTAAGGTTAGAACAAGATTCAATTGCAACATTTTTTCTCACTCGTTACATCACTACCACATATTAGGGCTATCTTATTATATCGGCAGTTATACTCTTCGAAAAGCAAAAAGAAGAAAGTTCGTTCTTGTCATAATTCTTTTCTTTCATTGTGTTGCGTCATTTTCTCTCTTGTCGTTTTCAAATTGAGAACTAGAGTCGTTTAATGTATATTGTAATATTTCTCTTTGTCAACATGCTTCTTTTTTTTTTAGTAGTTCTTTGCATCGTGTCCATTACATAATTCATATTTCAATATAAACGACATAGTACGTATATAATGTTGTTGATATACACAAATTTAAAAATCTTTGAATTCTTTTCAGTAGTTATAAATGGACTCAGTTCAAGCTAAACAACTGTGTGTGAATTGTACTAAAGGTGGAGGTATAACAATATGTGTTGGATGCCAGGGATGCTTTTGCAAAAGTCATTTTATTGACCATCGACACAGTCTTGATGATGAGATGGATCGTGTCAGCCAACAACAGGATTATCTCTATAAAAGTTTAACTGAAAATAATGTTGTACATCCACTTCTTTCTCACATTGATGACTGGGAACAGTCTTCGATTAGAAAGATTCAAGAAATAGCAGATAAAGCTAGAAGCGATCTATCACGATTTATGAATGAGATGAAATCTCAATTAAAACAATCACTTCTCAAAATAAAAAGTGAAATAGAATCAGGTCGTGAAGCAGACGATTATACCGAATTAGAATTAACGGATTGGATGGAACAACTAGAAAAACTTCGACGAATTTTTGAAAAACCACCGGCTATTGAAATTGTTGATGATCAATCACAACCACTCATTCGTGTTATTCAACGAAAAGGTTCGTAAAAATACAATGATGAAATATTCGATTATTCTAAAGGTTCTCAACGATGGCAAGACACATATACTAGAGTTTTATGAAGTATATCCGACTGCATTTTGGGTTCAGAACCTATAAAAAAACATTTTATTGCGATTCAGTGTAGCATCAGAGTCGAGTTTTGGGACTGAGCTTAATTTATCAAAATTGATTGAATACTTCTTATACTATCATTTTATGTTTTTTCATCGTCATTTTTAAATGCTAACAGAACTATTAGTTCTCCCATTATGGTTGTTTCTTGCATTTTGACACAACAATCATTCTTTTCTTAGCTTCAGTGAAATACATTAATGCTTTTAAATGGATAAGTTGTCATTTGGTTCATTTTCCTCTATATTGCATAGAAAACACTGTTTACTAACTTTTGATGCATACAGTTTTTTTTTGAATGTTGCAACCACAATCTTTTATTGTAGGTTTGTGAACGTCTTCAAAAAAAGCATAATCACAAACTATGTTTTCAGTCATCTATATCTGAAAATAGAGTTATGTGATTGAGTTGAAACTCGTTTTGGGTACAGATAGATATTCTGTGGTTCTACTAGCGCAATAGATTTCAACTCGAAATCTTGACGCACAAGCTTTCTATCAGTTTGACTTAATGAGGGTAGTGTTGATTTTAGTCAGTTTTCGATCTTACGTCTGAAGATTGCAATTGGATCGTCATCTGACATGTATTTTGAAAACAAATCTGTGTATAAGATCTCTTTGTAACAAAAATCCCAGTTTCTTTCAACAACGCATTATTTCGAGGCGACCTCATTAAAGATGTAACTTTACCCAAAATTTAGCATAGAATGCTCAAGAACGTCTTTGTTGCATAGATCGCACGAATAGCGCCAAATCAGAAAAGTAATTTTAGTCTTTATACTCAACAATTATAGAAAAACTTTTAATGCTGAGTGTCTAGGCAGTCATTCGTGTAGAATAAGATGGTAGCATTCCGTTGACCGATTTACTACCAAAGATCGTCTACAGCACGGTTTAACTTTCTGTAATTTCGGTTGCTTTCAGATGATATTCATCGAATCATCGTTCCTATTGAATAAAGTCATTGATTAAAATATACATCTTGACAATGGATTCTGCAGAAAAGTATGCATAGCATGCTGACGATCTTTTGCTGTAACCTACAGGCAACAATTGCTAATGGGATTGGAAAGATTCGCATCTGAAGTAGCTAGTAGACTTCTAAGATGCCGATAAAAACCGATCAATATGACAGGACATTTATATTTTCTGGTACAGTAAACCATGCCTTTATGAAGGCTTCCTAGATCATTACTACTATTAGAATTAAGATTTACGACTCCTACTCAGTCGCTCCATCGCTAGTATTTATGCACCAGTCTCAGTAGACTGATCCATATGTCATTTGAAGGCTGAATCCATTTCTTACTTTTGTATTATTACCTTTTCAACCACTATCAAATTATTAAATGGTTCTCCATTTATTAATTAAATTTTTATGATATTCTAGTCCACAAAAAGTATTCTTACATTCTTTTTCCTATCGACTAACTTTTTTTCATCGCTGACAACTATGTGACATATTAAATTTCTTTCAATGTTATTTTAGAGAAGTCAACTTCAGATACTAACTGCTAATAGTCGCGATTGAACTGCCAAAACTGATAGATGAGCATGATAAGCAGCTGTAGAAGAATTATATAATCCACCAATCCTCACATTACTTCATCTTCAGCTTCATGTCGTTTCATCCTTTCCTTGATAATGAAAGTAAAAGCAAAACTCAGAGTCTGAATCAATTAGTATGCCTTAGTTATGGAATCTATCTATTACACTATGGCGCTAAAACTATATACTTTACTAGCTCATAGATAATGCATGTTAGTCTGAGAAATGGGGTTTATATATTCAAAATAAAAATATTTTTGTTTGAGGGAAAATGATCTTCTAAATCCAAATTGTCATATGAATATTAGATGTTAAGAACCAATAAATATCATTACTTATGTAATACTATGCTAGTTTACTAGTTAAAAGTTGGGTATGGCTTACTTTGATTATAAATGACAATTCTTTAGTGATAGAACAAGAATTCGCACAGATTAATTCAAGAACACTAAACACGTATCTAGTACGGTTATGAATAGTCAGTTATCATAATATTACCAAGTAACTGATAACAGAAAGTCTATCGATTACTCGGTTATAGAAATATGTCACAGTACTACACTAAACGAGCATACATAGAACAAGAGCAAAGCATCAATTGTCTCATAACTGGTTATAATAGTCACGTGCTACTATTGAGTAAGGATTCTAAATCTACAATCCAACGATTTTTTCCAATTTTTTAGTTGTAACTTCTTGTCAGAAGAGATTAATTTCTCACGGGTTACGGAAGTTGTATTACAAATTTATTGTCTTGGCGAAAAAAAAAGCCTTCTTTAAGTAAAAAATTCACCTCGAAAAGTTGAAGAAATGGATGCACTGTAAATTTTGATTCTAAACCCCACTACGATGTATTATTGCTACCACGAATTAGAAGAACCGGATGTTTTCTTTTGTTTTATGTTCATTTAGCCAACAGGTAGGAACTTTTCTATCATTCAATAACGGTAACATTTGTTTTGTATGCTGTACTTGTACGAGTCCATACGTAATCATTTGCTAAATTGTACAATCATTATCCGCTTTCCTATCTTTAAGCATTTAGTGAAAACTTACTGGAAAATAGTAGACTAAATAGAAACGAGCATTCGTAATATTAAATGAAAAATTCTTATCAAATATACATCTTTCTATAATTATTAGGTTTCGAAACAAAAAAGAAAAATGAAACAACTCTTGTTTCAGCTTTACCGAAAACTATCAATACCATCGCCACTGCAAGTTTTATACCTACAGAATTACCAACGAAAATAGACGCAACAACAAATAACAATAGAAAATCAGGTATGTTAATACAAAGCAATAGTAAAAATAACAGTTAATAGTTGATGTTCACAATAGTTTTTATTTAAACAAACACAACAGTTGACTAACCCAAACGCTTAATATGATATTTAACAGATAAATCGACATGTCTTGTTCTCATATTTACAATCGATTATTAAATAGGCTCTTTCCTCATGCACTTCATATTTTAGTATACAGATTTTTATTAAAATTCATTGATTTATTCTATCAATCAATAATTCGATTGATATATCTAAGATTAAACTTGAATTGCTTTATATTAATAGAAATATTTCTTGTAGACACATTTTTAATATTTGTAGAGTAAATTTTAGTAGTGAACTCTTCATAGTATGAGAATCGTGTAATCTCTTACGATAAAAGAAAAACAGTAGAATTATCATCTTGTTATATTCAATCGGGTTAATACTTTCTATAAATAAGAAAAAAATGCTTTTTCTTCACTAAATTGTGATACAATTTATTTTCTCAATCAAAACTAAATAAATTATCATTTAACTGTTCTTATTTATATTTCTTTTTCAAATTAGTAATGAAATACATCAATTATTCCTAACTATAATGAAACATTTTGTGAAACTCTTCTCATTGTTCACATTGCGCAAAAGATTTTTTGTCGGAAATGGGTTCGATTCTATTTCAGAAAAATATGAAATAATCCTAATTCTGATAGCAATATCCTAGTACAGAACCTAGTGAGATTATTTTCAGTTATGTCTATAGTAATACACATAAATAGAGTATTGACTGTAACCCTATTGTAATGAGATGTTTGGAATGATCAAATGCATTTCACTTCACGTGAACTAGTTTGATCAGTGTAGAGATCATTCGAAGGAATAAGAGAATGCAGCGATCTAAAAAGTCATATTTTTTTCTTTCTACAATAATAGTTTTAAGCAGAGAAGAGTATTAGTTCGTATTTTTTGGTTTGACTAATATGAAAAACCCAGATCAAGCAATCAGACAGTAAGATCTTTCAAGAATCTTATAATACGATCTTGTGTAAGATTTCAGAGACGACGATTTTTTGTACGATTTTGTCTGATCGTAACAGGATCTTACGTTTGCTTTTTTGTCCTGGATGTCATTAACAATTGTGTTTTACAGAAAAATAGAAATAAAGCTTATTTTTAAATTATTTTGGATATTTGTAACTTTCATTCAGACAATCAACAATTCGCTACACCAGGTGTTTTCAAGGAACTGGATTGAAATCATTTGTTTCTCGTGTGACCATTGTTCGGCGAAATATCTTAAGGCATTCACTCAATGGGAGAAAAAAAGATGAATGGAATTCTTGTTGGTGTTATGCAAACTATTCATTTGACATGCGAACATTGGTGAGTTACTGAAAAGAAAAGGTAAGTTTAATGTAGATATAGTAGATCTACAGAACTTATCGGCGATGATAAGCATCCATGTAGCTAATGACTCTCTTTAAGTTTATCTTTCTTGAGTTTTGTAGTTTTGTGTATATAAAATAGATGAATAATATTATGCGACAAGTTGGAAATGGATGGTGACAAATCGTTTGTGGCATGGTCATCGAACATCTTTGTCAATCGAACATTTTATATTGAAGTAAATAAAATAGATGAACCTAACATCAGAAATAAGAATGTTTCTTTTCTCATATGAACTTTGATTTCATTAGTGATTCACAATCTTGATTTTAAAGTGACTGTATTTGATGAATATGATCATTTCAAGAATAATGATCAACCATTCACTGTGTCATATTGCAAAAGAGCAGATTCTGCATGTTTTTGTTTCATCGTCTGCAATATCATTGAACAGCAGCATTGGGGAAGTAGTGATTGGGAACGTTATATTGATTCTTAAATTTTGCAATGTTTTACCAACACATTAAATTGCAAAATTTACTTAGAGATGCATCATGACAGCTAAATAAACTCGTTGGAAAACAAATGTTGGGATACCATACAAGTTTTGGATCCAACTTAACCTCGATGCTACAGTTCAACATGAACACGGTAAGAGAACAAAATTTCGA